AAATTCCAGTGAAATATATTTATGTTTGTGGTTGTAATGTGACAAAATATGGAAAAGTTCAAGGGGTATGAATACTTTTGCAAACCACTGTATGTCCTGGTGTCTGAAGAGTGACTCCATGAGAGTTGATATTAACTCTGAGTGTTAAATTTACACTCTCAATTGCATGGTGTATTGACACCTTGTGATGTCTGTAAACTTTTATAACACCACAATTTCCTTGGTTAATAATAATAATAATAATACGCTGGTGAAACTTGTAACACTTTATTTTAACACTGTTGAAATGTTAATGAGACCCAGTATTGGTGAACATTTAACACTGGACGGTGTTACTGTTAACACTATATTTTAACGCTAACACTACTTTTATGTTAATGTGACACCAAGTATTAATGAATATTAAACACTGGTTGATGTAAATTAACAAAAAAATGAGTGTTAAAATTTAACACTTTCACAAATTGTATTTTAACACCAGTGAGTGTGGACACATAGACACTTGGTTGGTGTTAAAATTAACACTGTGGGTGTTAAATTAACACTGTGGGTGTTAAAATTAACACTGTGGGTGTTAAATTAACACTGTGGGTGTTAAATTAACACTGTKGGTGTTAAATTAACACTGTGGGTGTTAAATTAACACTGTGGGTGTTAAAATTAACACTGTGGGTGTTAAATTAACACTGGCATTTTTGCTGTGTAGGATACAGTCTGATACGTCAACTCTGTTACGGACAACATGGATAATATTTTGAAAACAAACTATATATATATATATATATATATATATATATATATACTGTATATTCTAACAGGCTAAATTCTCTTTATTTTATTACATAAACTGTCCTAATATAATACTGCTTCAAACTAAGGTATTTAATTTTAAAATACAATTAAAATATGGCAAAAACATTTAACTATTTACTGAATTGTTTTTATAGGAGCAAACATTCCTTATTAAAACTTATAAAATACCAATGATTATTTAAGAAAACAATTGTGCTTATAATACTGTAATACAGACAAAGTCAACCAGCCAATGTACAGAATATTAAAAACAATGATTTTCTTTTTTTTGTGTGTAAAAACTTTTGATAAACAGAGTTGACAGTTGAAGTAACAGAATTGACGGGACAATAACAGTTTCTTAACATTTCATCGTAGTTGGATTTAGAAAAAAAACAGTAATTAATTCATGTAAGAAAAATGGAGATTTAAGTTTAAGTTTTATTTATTTATTTATTTTTATTAAGTTTTTTATGAATTTCAATACATGAATAAACAATAAAAGCTTGTTTGCATCTGAAGATGTTATTTCCTCATCCTTCACACAGCTCAACACGATCTCCTCTCAGCAGGACCTGTGATGATTTCTGCAGCTTTGATAAAACAGCTTTTGGACCTTTTAGGTTTTTGTGTGTTGTGTGTTACACTGTACTTTACCAGTGTGTTACCCTGTACTTTACCAGTGTGTTACACTGTACTTTACCAGTGTGTTACACTGTACTTTACCAGTGTGTTACACTGTACTTTACCAGTGTGTTTCCCTGTACTTTACCAGTGTGTTACACTGTACTTTACCAGTGTGTTACCCTGTACTTTACCAGTGTGTTATCCTGTACTTTACCAGTGTGTTACACTGTACTTTACCAGTGTGTTTCCCTGTACTTTACCAGTGTGTTACACTGTACTTTACCAGTGTGTTACACTGTACTTTACCAGTGTGTTACACTGTACTTTACCAGTGTGTTACACTGTACTTTACCAGTGTGTTACAC